AAAAAAAAAAAGTTGGCCACGCTTACCCAGTCTCATTACCCCACCACCACCAAGCCACGCCCACAGAACCGGTAGTAACAAATTTTAGATTTCACCTCTGGTTTTAAACCTGAATTAGGTGTAAAAAAGCAATATGAAAATAAAGCTTGAAGTGGGATTAAGGGAACTACCACTTTCATTGGGAAGTGAGAAAAGTACCTATAGGGACTGCACCGTGTACCTCTTCAAGGACCAGATTTTAGACAAAATATGGTTTTACCGGATTAAAGTCAAAAATAACGATTAGCATCCACCTTGGTTAAACATAGCATTTGTAGTGAACTACTGAGGAGTGTGCCAGAGCACACAAGCACCTCATTTTCCTTTTTTCCCCGATTCTACTCATACCACTTTTCTTATCACAAGCTCAAGTTCACTGTGCTTAAATTGTCCAACATGCTGGTTCAGGATGGTTATTTCAGGGGACTCAAATAATTGGGGTCTGATATGACACTAAACCTGTTATCATGAATTCCAAATCAGGGTTGATGTAACGTGGAAATCAGACCCCTTTGATATTTCAACAAATCATAGCTGTTAGAGACCAGACAGTTGTGAAAAACCTTGCAGTTAGGAAAAGTTAAGGGAATGTTGAGCTTTGGTGGATCTATCAAGAAATATCAGTACAAATTTATTCATACTTCTTACTTTCTGCAGCTGGACTGTAGCCATATATTCCACCTGCAATGCTGCTGCCGGGTTCTAGAAAACCGATGGCTTGGCCCCCGCATTACTTTTGGGTTCATGTCCTGCCCCATTTGCAAGGTAAGTTACAGAGCCAAGAGTTTCTTTTATGCATCCCATAATTTACATTAAAGGAATCACTTCTGTCATCATTGATTATCGATTGATAATGAATTAGAAGTCTGAGTTTTGGAAGAGGAAAATTGCATGTTTTCCATTGGTTTTCAATAGTGATCAATTACCTCCAAATGTTTTCCTTATGTTTAACTAAAATATTTACTTTACTTGTATTCCATATTTTGGATGTTTGGCAACTGGCTCATATTTATGATTGGTTGCATGTCCCATAGTCACGTGACTGCAATTTGTGACATTTTTTGCCAGTTTCTAGGGGGAGAATGCCCATTAGGGAGTTTGCACCAAAGACCATGTGGTTTGCTTAACAATGGTCATAATTGGGTCCTATTACATGAGTGCCACAATTGATGACAACCAAAATTCCGGCCCTAATTGCTTTGGCCTGTGTTGTCTTTCCTTTTTTTTTTTTTTTTTTTGCTCAGTAAACTCTGATTTGTGGCTTACTGCTTCTTTCTTTTTACCCCAAAGAACAAAATAAACCATGCGGTATTAAAGGACTTACTTGATCCAATCAAGGAACTTTATGAGGATGTGAAGAGGAAAGCCCTAATGAGGCTGGAATATGAAGGGCTGCACAAGAGTGAAGCCATCACGACACCCGGAGTTCGATTTTATAATGACCCTGCTGGCTTTGCCATGAACAGATACGCATATTATGTTTGCTACAAATGCAAGAAGGTATGATCCTGGTTCAGATGGTGGACATGAGATGTGTGTTTCAGCATGATTGATAAATAGAAACATGCCATTTCATGACTATTTACTGAGCCATATATTTTTAGATGATAACACTATGATGGCTCTCTATCCAAGCAAATTATTCTTGACCATAAGTATATTTTTAAAAAATCACAATTGTGTTATTGTATTTTTATACCAAATGTATTTTTTCAATCCAGCTATCTCACAAAAATTGAAGGAGAATTGAACTGTTAGTGTTTTAGTAGTGACATTCAATTTAGCACCAAAGTGGGGTGACTTATTTCTCAACTTTCAGTTTACAAACTCTTGTTTTCAAGAACCTCTTTTTTCTTTCCTTTTTCTTTTCTAAATTTTCTTGCATTGTGTTAAAAATGGCCTTTCTTAACCTCTTCCTTTATTCAATATCTTTTCAGTTCCTAAGGCCTTTTGCTTTGCTTTTCTCCAGATGTTTTCAGCAGCCCTAGTAGCTTAGCCCACCCAAGGCCCTCTTTTAGCAGACTTTAAGGTGGTTCATCCAGTTACTCCCAGAGGCTTTGCTGCCACAGAATCACACATACTTGGAGGACATTTTTTCAAATGGATACATCCTAATGCCCTTTCTATTATTTGATTCACATTTCACATGTAATAGGTATAACTTTCCATTACTACCAATATGAAAGTATTTGCTTCAAAAGCATGACATCTTTATAGTTCATTACTGGCCCAATTTCATAAGAGATCCTTAAAAACAGAGTTTTGAAACAAAAAAATGTTTTCGTATCAGATCCTAATGAAAGCCCTTCATTCATACTGCCCTTGCTTTGCTTTTCTTCCCTAAAGCGGAGAAAAGCTAGAAACACAAAACGATGTAATTAAGACATCACAGGAGGCCTGTTACTGTTTCACTGATGTTTCTGGAAGTTGGTGTGATGGCGCTCAGCATTTCTTCTTGGTTTTTCTTCCTCCAGGCTTACTTTGGTGGAGAAGCCCGTTGTGATGCTGAAGCTGGACAAGGAGATGATTACGACCCCCGGGAACTCATTTGCGGCGCCTGTTCTGATGTATCAAGAGCTCAGGTAGTGAAGCATTTTCCTTCTGCCATTTTGGGGACTTGTCCAATAGGTCAGGGGTCTCCCAACTTTGGCAACTTGTGGACTTCAACTCCCAGAATTCCCCAGCCAGCATTGCATGCATCTTCATAGATCTTAAATCAGTGTCACTGTTCATTCTCTCCAGCTTAAGCTGTGCTTTTTTTTTTCCTCCCCCCCCCCAGATGTGTCCCAAACATGGTACAGATTTTCTAGAGTACAAATGCCGCTACTGTTGTTCGGTGGCTGTTTTCTTTTGCTTCGGGACCACCCATTTTTGCAACGCTTGTCACGATGATTTCCAGAGAATGACAAGTATTCCAAAAGAGGAGCTTCCTCATTGCCCTGCAGGTAATGTTTTAAAGTGCCATTGAATTATATTTCTGGGTAGTTGGTAAGTTGTCTTTGATCACTTTCAGTTACAGTGGTGGTCTTCCAGATGAAGATTTAGAAGCTTCAAAAGGAACTTAATGTTGCCCAAGAATTTCATGGTAGATCAGTTAGGACATGTGAAAGTTCATTCATTGTGAGAAGAAAAAATATTAATAGGCTTATGAAACAAAGTCAGTTGCAGTTGTCTAGTTGTTCCATGGCATTAGAGGGCCCGTTTTGTAGTCTGCGTGGTATAAGTACACCAGGCTATGCAGAATTTGGGAGAAATGTGATTAAATCCCAGCAAACATATATATAGTTAGTGTTCTGTCCCCGTCTCACACACGCACACAAACAGTCAGCCAGGAGTTAAATAAAACTTGCAGACAATAAATTCCTTCGATAACAGGATTGGCAGCAACCCAGTAGCTGCTTGCCAAGAACATTACTCACAGAGAATCAAAACAAATACACAGAATTGTCAAGTCCAGTCCGTATTAAATCCAAGGCAGGCAGATAACGTAGTTTCAGAGATACAATGCAACTCGCTAGTTGTTTAGTTTTGTCCGTCACAGAGCCTGAATGGCCACCATACCCTCTTTTATCTCCTGTGGGGTGTGGTCCAGTGACTCAGCTTAATCTCTGGCACGCCTCCTTTTCTGCTGCGTGCGCTTGTCTCTCCGACGCTGGCGTGGATCCAGCCAAGACTTATCTTCGTCACTGTCCGATTGCGACTGCTCGGCGATACCTGGCTCCTGGCCAATCTCTTCTCCTTCGGGAGACACCTGAGGCATTGCCAGAGAGGAGGGTCCTGGAGAGGGAGGCCTTGCCAACTCCTCCCCTTCACTTTCAGAGCCTTCTCCCTCCAATAAGACGGGCTCGGGGGTCGGAGTCACAACAGGTAGCCCTCCACATACGACCACAAATTCTGTTGCAAAGTGAGACATTCGTTGAATTATGCCCCATTTTATAACCTTTCTTGTCACAGTTAAGTGAATCACTGTCCAGTTGTTTAGTAACAAGGTTGTTAACTGAATCTGGCTTCCCCATTAACTTTGCTTAACAGAAGGTTGCAAAAAATGATCCCAGGACATGGCAACCGTCATAAATATGAGTCAGTTGCCAAGCAAATGAATTTCGATCATGTGATCGGCGGGAACCCGGGGCTTAATGGCCGGCCTTGGCTTCTCTTGCAGGTCCCAAGAGCAAGCAGCTGGAAGGGGCCGAGTGTCCGCTCCACGTCGTCCACCCTCCGACGGGCGAGGAATTCGCGCTGGGCTGCGGCGTCTGCAGAAACGCGCACACTTTCTAGCCGCCACTGAGCCGAAACGTCGAAACCCAGGCCGGGGACCATTTGGCCAGCACGGCGCCGGGGCCGAGCCCGCCTCAGGCGCTTTGCATGTGGCCTCGCTGCGCATCCGCCCCACCCCCACCCCCCTCGAGCCTCGACGAGCAGGGACTCCGGAGGCTGCTGACTTCGCCTCTTCTTCTTCATCCTCCTCCTCCTCTTCTTCCTCCTCCTGAATGACGGACTGTGGCTGCCGCGGGCAGGGCAGGGCGGGAGGCCGATCAAACAGCGGCGGGGCGTCCTCGATGTAACCAGTCTTGAAGGCGTTGTATAGATTTATATATATATATATATTATCTATATATATATATATATAGTCGTGTCTATGTCTGTCCCGCCTCAAAAGTCCTGGATTGTATAATGGCGGCTTCCTTCCTCCCAATTTTTTTTTTTGTGTGTGTGTGTGTGGGGCTCCGGGGGCGCCGTCTGGCCGAAGTGCACTTCCGTAAAGGCGCCTCCCCCCGCCCAGCAAGCGCCGCCGAAGGGAATGTAGCCTCAATAAAGCCACGCGGGGCCTTTTCCTACCGGAGACTCCTGAGGAGAAATTTTTGTCGGGCTGGGTGAGGGGTGACGGGGTGTGGAGAAGAGAAAAAAAATGAGGGATGGAAGGGGCTGCGCATGCGCCGCGCCGCCTCCCGCCATCTTGACCGGGCGCGAAGTAAACAAGGCGGTGAAACGCCGTCGAGAGGCGTTTGGGAGGGAGACGCTCGCGGCGGCCTGGTTGAGAGAAACGCGGGCCTCCATCCCCCACTCCATGGGACGCGGGAAGAGGAGGAGGCAGCTGAGGCCGCGACGTCCGGGCCCGGGTTAAGGCCGTCGCTTGGGGGATGAGGAGGGGGGGCGTTGCCATGGCGACTAGGCAAAGGGGCTGCGGCGCTCGAGGCCTTTCCAAGGGTCGCCGTCGCCGAGGCTACCCGGGCAGCATGAAGCGGGAGGCGGTAGCAGAGCCAACGGGCGAACCCGAAGACGAAAGCCAACGACGGGATCTTCCCGGCCCGGATTGGGCTTCCCTGCTGCCGGAGGTGCTGCTTCGCGTCTTCCAGCACCTGCCGTTGCTGGACCGCGCGCGGGCCTCGCAGGTCTGCCGGGGCTGGCAACGGGTTTTCCACCTGCCGGAACTGTGGCGCCGCTTCGAGTTCGAGCTGGGCCAACCCGGAGCCAGAGCCACCCACCCGGAGCTCATCAAGCAGATCCTCAAGCGGCACGCCGGGCACCTGCAGTACGTCAGCTTCAAGGTGAGCGACAGCCAGGTTGGCCGGGCTTCTTCTTCTTCCTGACCCGGCGGGCCCAGGGATTCAGGTGGCCTGAATGTCTAGTCTATAGAAAAGAAGACGTGATAGCTGTATTCCCAATATTTGAGGGGCTGCCACAAAGAAGAGAAATGGAATTATAGGGCTGGAAGGAACCTCAGAGGTCTTCTAGTCCAATCCCTTGCTCAAGGCAGGAGACTTTATGCCATCCCAGACAAACAGTTGTCTAATCTCTTCTTAAAAATTTCCGTTGTTGGAGGACATCGTTCCACTGATGAATTGTTCTCCCTGTTAGGAAATTCCATCTAATTTCTAGATACTCCATGTTGCTGCCTTAAAATCAGCAAAGTATTAAGAAAGAATCCTACGGGAGGGGGAGGGGGGATCAGCCTATATTCCAAATTACCTGAAGTCAAGACAAGAAACAGTGGATGAAAACTAACCAAGGAGAGAGGCAACCTAGAACTAAGGAGAAATGTCCTAATAATGAGGACAATTAACCTACGGAACTACTTGCCTCCAGAAGTTGTGGGTGCTTCATCACTGGAGGTTTTTAAGAAGAGGCTGGGGCAGCCACCTTGTCTCAAATGGTACAGGTTCTCCTGCTCGAGCAGGGGGGGTTGGACTAGAAGACCTCCGAGGTCCCTTCCAGCTCTTGTTATTCTGATGTATCCTGCTGTAATCAGTAGGGATGATGTCCTCTGAAAGCCTATCGTTTCTGCGCTCCCCTCTCTGACCAATTCGGAGCGGTTTCCACATTTCCCCACTGTGCTCTGTGGATGAATTGTTTTCCTCTCTGAATCTGAGAGCTGCCCTGGTTGAACTGCTGTGCCATTGTATTGAACAATACACATCTTCCAAATCCAGTTCAGTCAGAATCTGGGTTGATTTTCAGAGATCGGTGTCCGATGGATACAGAGCCTGAGTTCCGACAACAGAGGGCAGAAAATGTCAGCAGATGGAAAAGGGGATTTAACTCACTGGAGGCAATAGATAGTTCCTGCTGAACGGGAGTCCCTGAGGGAAGGAGGGTGCTTCTCAGCCTGTAGTCAGCATCTCTTTTCTGCATTGAAAATGGGATAGCACCCCGAGGTTTTTGCCCTAGATACCAGCCACACACACAGCCCTCCCTTTCTCAGTTGGAGTTGGGAACCCAGCTGGCTAGCTTTTCCCCAACTCCCTTCAGCGGGTGACAGAGGACACAGGTAGAGAGAGAGGGTTGAAGGAGAATTGCAGGAGCTGGACCAAGGTGGTTAGAAGGCAGGTGAAAGAAATAGCAGAATGGGAAGAAGTGGAAGGAATTACTGGTGGACAAAGAGCGGATGAATTCAACCTTGGTGGAGTAAATATTAAAAACTTGATCACAGACCTGGAGAAGAGACAGCCCCTCACTAAGTATTTATCTTCAGATAAAAACAGGAGATACCTGTTTTTAGGAATGATGCTAACCACAGTACTGAAACTTTAAATTCTTGGGCAATTGAAGACCGACTGAAATAAACATAGATTGATAGCAGGTGAAATTGGTGCTCCTGAGGTGTTTTGAAAAATACAAATAGTGACCAGGAGTAAGAATGGTAGTTTCTGAGGAGGAATTGACAGATTGAACAAAATCTGCAAAATAAGATGCAGGCAAAAGGGGATAGAGGGAACTTCCAAGCAACAGAGCAGTGAGAGGCAAAACATGGGGAGAGTGTTCTACAGAGTGTAGTTGCGGAGAAAAGAATCAGTCAGTGGGACCGTGCAACCAGGTTAACCAGGGTTAAAAGGCTTTGCCTGCTTAGCCACTCATTCCCATGAAGCTGAATAGTCCATGGTGATGCAGACATCTGTCAATAAGATTATTATTTGCACAATCTTAATAAGATTCATGAAAGGCTTAATGAGGCTGTGGCTTGTTAGCTAAAAGCAGAAGTTCACCTGAGATTTAGCAAAGTTCAAACCTGGACTTGCAATATTCTGATTTTCAGGAAAATAGATTTGAAAATCTGACAAACTTTTGATTCTAGCTTCTGCCAATCAGGAAGGATAGTTATATTGCACTTGGATGGCATAGAATAATATCAGGCCTCCAACTCAGATAAATAAAGAACCTCCTGGTAGGGAGAAAATACTTTTGCTAAACCTTTCCACAGCAGAGTATGCCATGCCAACAATATCTTTTCCTAGAAAACCTGGTCTAATCAGCCCCTTTTGTTGAGGAAGCCACTCTCTTCCTTTGGTGGTTAAGGGAGCAGACACAGAAAAATGGCAGCAAGCAAGAGAGGGCCAGGGCCATTTTTGTGGTTAACGCAAAAATAGCTGACACCAATTGAATGTTTTATTAGTCCCACCCACACACTGATCATGTGTGATTTACCTTGGGAGTCCTTACACAAACTTTGTGTTAAGGGATGTGAAGTGTTGTGCTTGACTAATAATAGCTGTTACAAATTTTTTGACACATGATGGATTATCATTGAACTCAGTGAATTGTGTACATGTCCATTGTTTTATTTGAGTTTATTTAAGTTGCATTTGTATTGATTTTTTTAATGGATAATATGCTAAAATCTGAAAAATGCCTTATTTTCCGGGATATTTTGACCCTGACATGAAAACATTTTAAATCCAAAAGCTGGAACTTAGAAAAATAAAATGTTCAATGCTGTGATGCTGTTGTGCTGCTCCATGGTTTGGGCACATCTGGAATAGTTTCCCAGTAGCATCCACCTTGGGGTAGCCTAGGGCTCAACATATACTCTCTCATGGGACATTTGGAACAGCTTGCTGAGAAGGGAGCAGAACCACCTCTAAATATATTGGACCTTCCCTCATGGAATTAGAATTAGACTAGCTGATTGTGAAATTAATCAACTGATGAATTCAGGAGTTCAACCATTTAATCTGAGATGGAGAGGGATGCTTTGAAATTCTGAGGTTTCAACTTGATCCCTCAGTTTTATGGAGAAACACTGAAGCCTACTTGATCATGTTTTGAGACACCAAAAGAGGGGGAGGGGAGTTTTTGATTGGCTAAGAATGCCCAGCTCCAACTTTAAAATTTCCCAGCAGCTCCAAGGAAGAGGCTTGAAATCATGCTGGCAAAATATTTTATCTTTGCGGGTTGATTTCAGCAGGATGATCTGTGGGCTACATGTAGAAAGAAAATTCCCCAGCCCTGGTTTGTGAGTTGATGCATATGTTTATAATCCAATAAAGATTCGTGTAAGAAAGAATACGGAAGGGAAGGGTGGGGAAGGATATGGCAGGAAAGGATAGATTAAGGAAGGATGAGATGGATAAGAAAGAAATAGAATAAGGGAATGGAATGGAATAATATTTTGTTTGGTTGCAAGTTATTTTTAAGTTCTAATTATATCTTAGGCATCTGTATTTGGGTGTTCGGTGGGGTATGTTAACTACTTTATTTAAAACAAAATGATTACTCAAACTTTTAATTTTTTTATAATCTTAATTATATGTTGTGAGTCATAATTTCAAAAAAGGAACTGATAGAGAGGAGACCAAGAGCACAACAGGTAGTTATTAAATTATTTTTACATTTATGCTGAACTTGAGGAGGGATATTGAATATTTGCTCAATGGATATTTCTTCTGGATGTTTTCCAGGACAATAGAGAATCCTGGAGACATGTTTTTACCCCATCTAATTCCAATTCCTTCCAGTTTCTATCATGGTAAAGGCTTAAGGAGCTAAAACAACTATAGAGCTGCTCATAAGTCTAGTTTAAAAAAAATGAAAACAGGACAAAGGACCTCAGAACCTTAAACAAAAATGCCATTCCCCTCTCTCCCAAAAAATATATTTTCCAGAGGATGGATGCTTCCTTCTAGTCAAACAGGAAGATGTCTTCTGGTGTTTCTTTTCTGGTTGGGGCAGTATAGTTGGTTGTACCAAATTCAGTAATTACATGAGGTCATTCCAGTTGAAGTACATGTATGCCAGATGGCATGTGGAGAAACCACCAGCTGTGAAATTTCTGAGGAAAGCCTCAGCAAACACCTAAGAATCCATCTTCTAACACCTTTTAATAGCAGAAGGTTTTTGCAAGACGGGCAGTAGTCAGAAGATTGATGTAATAAGCCAGACAGCTGTTAAAATTCATAAAACAGAAAGTAGCAGGCTCTCAGCCAGCATACTAGAGTAGAATTAGACACCTTAGGCCCTAAGGAGGTTGGGTGAAAAGTGACAAAAATTCTAAATAGAAATGTGAAGCGCCTTATGGATAGCCAGTCTGTGCCATGAGTTTTTCAGGAAGGTTTCGGACAGTAAAAGGAAGGAATGATTTGTATTCCACATGAAAAGTTTAGTTTAGTTTGTGAATGAGATCTAATAAAAGACCACAGTCAGCTTGTTAGGTAGTTTCCACCTGAGAAGAAAGGGGTTGATGCCACCAAAAAAACAAACCCAACCCTTCCTGGTAGTAATGTTGAGGAGATTAAATATGAAGATTTTGATGGAGGCTTTTGAGACCATTTGTAGACTCCAGATAAGGAGCCAGTGAATAGCAGCATTATTTGACAGGATTCCCCCTCAGACACATATATGGAGATGAAATATACTTTTTCCCATTCTAATCAGATCTGAGAATATGGCTTCAAGACATGTTAGGCCTCTAACCCATCCTCCTATCGTTATGCTTTATTGTTTCATCAGCTTGATATGTAGATTACTTCCCAGACAAAGGATTGTTGAAATGGCAATCTTGATACTCTAGTGATATGTAAATCTCCTGTTTGGAAGCTAGATGGATCCAAGCGTGGGATTGAAAGTGTAAGAACAGATTTGGAATGATTGGTAGGAAGGTTGCTTTTTGAATAACTGGAATTTCCAGATCTAGTAAGAAATCAAGATCTGGTTGCATTTTGAATTAACTCCTGGAATGTTCTGATGCCCTGATATGAGTAAATTTTCAGCTAAAGAAGGGAAGCTCCCAAATGCCCTATTAGAGTTTTCAAACCTATCAAATTGCAAGTTGCTCTTATGAGCCTTTTCTTCCTGTAGACCACACAACTTGGACAGGATGAGATTCCAGAAGGCAAGAGCTGCTGAGATGGTTGGATCTGCTTTCCCACCTGCTTTGATTTTGGTGTAGACAATCCTGCAGTTGTTTTATGTTTTAAATAATGACCTGCTGATATAAAAGAAGAGCTACGGGGATGAATGTGTAAACTTGGTGAAGGTTAATGCCCATTGAGGCGAGCACCCAACAGGAAGGAAGGGAACATATTTTCTTCCTAGGCAGTTGCTTGCTGAGTGAAACTGCTGGTGCCTCAGTCTGATGGATAACAATCGATCAGGCTTAGACAGTGCTCACATGCAAAACACACTTAACCTTTAAAATGTCTGAAGTTTCTGAGTGAGGGAAAACCCTGAAACCCCAAGGATCTTGCAGATCCCCCCCCCCCCAAAAAAAACAGCAGTACAGAAGTTCAATCCTTCTCTGCATGAAGGCATAGAAGAGAGTCAGGGATTCTCAGTCATCCAGATCATCTTTCTATCCCCCACTATCCTGTCAGAGCTGAAAGAAGCTTCTTGGAGGAGAAGCAAAATGTCTTCAAAGAAAAAACAAGAAAATCCAGTTGCCTCCTGAAAAAGCATCTTTGGGACACTCAGTGAGAAAATAAGATAAAGTGAGGAGTCCTAGGTGCTCTCTAAGCTTGCTTGTTTTCATTACCCAAACTAGGTAACATCATCAGTGTTACCTAGTTTGGGTAATGAAATGTCGGCAAGAAAACAAGCAAGCTCAGGGAGTACCAAGGACCCCTCATTTTAATCCTGAGCTACAAATATTTCCCTTTATTAAAAAGATAAAAAGTGCTGGTATGTGTGTTTTCTACTTCCCTCGCAATAGAGACATTTCCCGTTTGTGTCAAATGAATGCTTATCGGTTTATCTAGTTTTTTTGTTCTTCGACAAGTGTGCCCGTTTTTGGAGAACATAACTGTCTTTCACATTGAAGTTCAAATCAGGATTGCCAACAGGGAATTAAACTTGTTCACTGTTTGAGCTTTGAGAAACCCCCCCACCCCCCCACCCCCCCACACACAAATCATAGCTTGCCAATCAGAGGTGGTATTCAGCAGGTTCTGACCAGTTCTGGAGAACCGGTAGCAGAAATTTTGAGTAGTTCGGAGAACCGGTAAATACCACTTCTGCCCCCTGCCCCCATCTATTCTCTGCCTCCCGAATCCCAGCTGATTGGTAGGAAATGGGGGTTTTACAGTATCCTTCCCCTGGAGTGGGAAGGGAATGGAGATTTTACAGTATCCTTCCCCTGCCATGCCCACCAAGCCATGCTACACCCACCAAGCCACGCCCACAGAACCAGCAGTAAAAAATTTTGATTCCCACCACTGTCGCCAATGTAACACTGAATAACCGAAGAAGGCAAGTGAAAGGAAAGATGAGAGGCACAATCTTGATTAATGATTTATGATGGCGTATAAACCAAGTTCCTGTTTTGTTTCCCATTGAGCTGGTTGTTGTCCTGTACAACAAGTAACATTTTGACCTGAAAGCATTGATAGCCAGCTCCACGTTTAGTTCTTGAGAGCTCAATATGTGAGTTATATTATTAATGCGTTCTTCTGAATTATTCACCATGCACATGGGTACACACATAACACCACAACAATTCAGAGAGGACTTGGCATACTTAGGAACAGAGATGGTTGAATAACAAACCAAAATACAGCATAATAGAGAATGCCTGCTTCAAGTGAGTTACTGCCTGGAAGGATGGCTGAAAGGATGGCACTTTTTTGTTTGTTTGCTTGTTATAAATAGGAAGACACTCTGTGGCATTTTGTTGCAGATTCTGCTCCTGGTGATAAGTAATGCAACATCCTTTGTCCGAATGTTTCACATTTAGTATGACCAGAGGTGGGCAGCACATGAATTAACAACCAGTTCGCCGCAGCACTGAAAATATGAGCGCATACGCAAGTGAAGTGAAGCGAGCATATGTGTGGCCTTCTGTGCTTGCACGCATGCGCACGACTTAAAAAATGTGGCGCATGGCTTAAAAAACAACTACCGGTTCGTCTGAACCAGTCCAAACTGGCAGCAGCCCACCACTGAGTATAACCTAAAATAGGGGTTTTCTCATCCAGTGGCTCATAGCAGGAACAACATCAGCATGATACTTTTTAGTATATTTTTGGAATTGAAATACTTTTCAGTCAACAGCAAAGTACAAGTAAGCCTCGACTTACAATGGTTCATTTAGTGACCATTCAAAGTTACAACTGTACTGAAAAAAGGGACTTATGACCGTTTTTCACACATGACCATTGCGGCATCCCTGTGATCACATGATCAAAATTTAGTTGTTTGGAAACTGACTTGTATGCATGACGGTTGCAGTGTCCCGGGGTCATGTGATCCCTTTTTGTGACCTTCCCACAAGCAAAGTCAGTGGGGGAGCCAGGTTCACTTAACAACTGTGTCACTAACCTAACAACTGTGGTGATTCGAATTAACAGCCGTGGCAAGAAAGGACGTAAAATTGGGCAAAATTCACTTAACAAATGTCTCCTTTAGCAACCAAAATATTGGGCTCAATTGTGGTCGTAAGTCAAGGATTACCTGTATATAGTATTTGAAGGGACTGTTTACCCACTGACTCCTGTTGGTTTTTTTTTTTTTTCCTTCAGGTGGATAGCAGCAAGGAATCGGCTGAGGCTGCCTGTGATATTTTATCCCAGCTTGTCAATTGTTCTTTAAAGACCCTCGGACTGATTTCCACTGCTCGACCGAGTTTCATGGATTTACCAAAGGTACTAAGCAGATTTATTTTATTTTATTTTATTGAAAAAGTTTTCAATTACAAATTTTCCCCCTTTTCCCCCCCTCCTCCCTAACCCCCCCTCACCACCCCATCCCCCCTGTGACTTCTTCAAAATAAAAACCTAATACATAACAGATTATATAATATTTACCATCCCCTTACTCCCGCCTCCAAATACTGACCCTTGCTTCTAATGATATTATTAATATTATTACTTCCCCCTCTTACCATGCACTTCAAAATAACATTCTACTATAACACTGTATAATAACTTCTGATTTAACACAGTAATATTATTATGACTCCCAATTTAGCAATAATCTGCCCTTTTTTCTCCTCCCCCATACTTATGTCTATATATTAATATAACATTTCAAAACAACCTTCCACTTTAAAACTATATAATAAATCCTACTTTAACATTTAATCTTTTGTGTATATTAATATAACATTTCAAAGCAGCCTTCCCCATAAATTCTAATTTTACATTTGTTCTGCTCTATCCATTTCCTCCACTCCCATAAATATATCTCTTAAGCATCCCTTTTCTTAATCTATACAATCAATACACTAGCCTGTCTCCACCCACTTTCCTACAAAATTACCATACACAACAATTCTTAATATCTTTGTTCTTCTGCCCACCATACTAAAAAATATTCCCTTATGTAGATGAAATCAATGACTTTAAATTTATAATCCATATAATATCTTCTTTGATGTCTTTCCACTGGATTGCTGACTCCATCATCCATATTAGGGTAACATAACATCCCAATTGCAACAGAATATTCAAAATCCTCAAGTACTAAGCAGATTTTTAATCCGGTGTGGTTGGTTACCAGCAAATCTGGAACAACAAATTGTGGCCATGTTGTGATCAAGCTTTCTCTTCCAGGCACACAGAGAAGGAGGGAGAGCCACGTTAATCCACGCTGGCAAATATATATATATATCAGAAGATGTCTGGTAGTCCCTTTTCCAACTAACACATCCTTCACTTTGTATCAAAAGTCAGTGCTATCAGTTCCAACAGAAGCTCTGATTCCACCATTGCTAGTGAAACGTAAAGAGATCTTGCCGGAACAAAACTTGAGAATGCAACAAATCTATTCGTCTTGAAGATTGGATTTATAACCTGCCCTTTAAAAAAAAAAGAGGACTCTTAAGGCAGTTTATAATAATAATAAAAAAAAAAGACAAGAATGTAGAAGTCACAAAATGAATACAATTCAAATTGAAACCCCCCATAAAACCACTTGTTAATGAACCATCAAGGCCTGTGAAAGGATGTTGAGTTTTTAACTACCGTATTTTTCAGAATATAAAACACACCTTTTTCCCCACTAAAAGGGGATGAAAATTTAGGTGCATCTTATACACCGAATGTAGCCCCGCTCACCTACTGGCCCCCACCCTTTGGCCTCTGCCTCCTAGCAATTTACCTCCTTGCAGCAAGTAGCAAGAAGAAAGAGCCCATTTCAGCTTCAGTACAGCCTAATTAGCACAAGTTGATTGTCCCTTGGATTGGCCTCCCAACTCAGCTGTTTTGCGCGGGCCCCCGCTGCTTGCTGCAAGGAGGTAAATTGCTGGGAGCAGATTTCTTTTCTTCTCGTGCTAATCAAGCTATGCTGAAAACGAAAATGAAAATAAAGCAGACTATTTTCTGTTTGCTGCAACAAGGCAAAATTGCTGGGAGGCAGAGGCAGATTTCTTGTTTTCCTCACCAAAAAAGGTAGATGCGTCTTATAGTCCAGAGCGTTTTATAATCCGAAAAATACGGTACCTTCTAAACACTGTGAGAGGAAGAGACAGACGTGTGATTTGAAATCTGGAAGCCATGCAGGAAAAGGCTGTTTTCCATTTACCTGGGAATTGAGCTCCAAGCTGCAGAGGCATCTTCAGAAGGGTGTTTCCTGCCAAGCAGGGTTATTGTGTGGGATCATAGCGGGAGGGGCAGTCTCATTCCGAGTCATTTAGGGCATTTAAGGTCAACACTAAAACCAAGTTGTGTTCAGCAGACATTTTTAGAACCTTCAATACAGTTAGACCTTGACTTACAACCACAATGAACCCCCAAAATTCTGTCGCTGAGTGAGACATTTGTCAAATAAGCTGACTTTGTATAAATATACAAAAGTATGAAGGCTATTGCTTAATGCATTGTAAGCCACCCTGAGTCTCTGGAGAAGGGCAGCATATAAATTAAAGCAAAATATATATTTATAGTTTTTGCCCCGTTTTATGACCTTTCTGGCCACAATTGTTGAATCAATCACTGCAGTTGTTAGGTTAATAACACAATTGTTAAGTAAATCTGCTTTTCCATTGATTCTGCTTGTCAGCAGGTCACAAAAGGTGTTCATGTGACTCCGGGACACTGAAACCATCATAAATACATGCAGTTGCTCAGCATCTGAATTTTGATCCCGGACCATGGAAAGGTGAAAAAGTCACCTTTTTCAGTGCACGTTGTAACTTTGAATGGTCACTAAACAAACTGTTGTAAGTCAAGGACTACCTGTACAGTCAGAGAATAGCCAAGTTGCAGCATTTTTCTGATCCTTTTCAACTAAAGAGCACTGCAGTAGTCGACAGAGGCTGTAACTAAGGCCTGCAAAACTATTGCTCAGGAACGATCAAGTGGGCAATGCCATAAGTGTTGCCGGTCCTCACTGCTGCCACCTGACAATGCTGTGCCAACTGGGAATCCTGCTCCTCCTCAGGTGGTCAGCCCTATCCAGGGAAGCTTCCTCTTTGTCCCATGTCTCTCCTTCTCCACAGCACTTCTGTTTGTCTAGATTTAATTTCAATGGGTTCTCCCTCATCCATTATTAAAATAATTGGGCAGGGCTCCCTTAAAGATGAAAGATGGGGAGTGAAGTTGTCCTCCTTTTCCCAAGCTCTGAATGGTTTCACATGGATGTCAGCCAGCAGAAGAGGCCAGCTCTGAGCTACAGCCTAAATATAGAACCGTGGTTTCATGGCACCACCTTCTGGCCACACCCTGACAGGAAAAAAAATAGCATATTGACTTCTGACTCCTTTTGCTGCAGTAGAATAGGATAATAACATGAAGCCTCAATTTATTTTTATATAATAGTATGTACTAGTCATTTTTATAACACCATACCAATATAATCAGCAAACCCAGAATTTTTTTTAATTCACAATATAATATATTGAGAAGCTGAAAAATATGTGGGTACTTTGAGTCTTTTGGAGTTTGCTCTCATTTTCTGTGAATAAACTTCATTTTAGAATGGGATTATTGTTTTGTTTCTTGATTTCAATGTTTTCTCCTTTTTTACAGTCACACTTCGTTTCAGCCCTAACTGTGGTATTTGTAAACTCCAAATCCCTTTCTTCACTCAAGATAGACGATACGCCAGTAGATGATCCATCTCTCAAGGTGTTGGTGGCTAACAACAGTGATACCCTAAAACTCTTAAAAATGAGCAGTTGTCCCCATGTTTCTCCAGCAGGTAAGTTTGTTTTGGGAATATTTTTTGTACGATGAATATTTTGAATTAGCATTTATACCCAGCTTATATTGGAAATTTCCAAAAATTCAGGATGATCTGCACAAGTTTATTGTTGGGAGAAAAAGGAGGAAAGAGTATTAGATGTGTTCACCACCTTGAGTTATTTTTAAAAAACTAAAGGCAGGCAATAAATACATGCATACATGCATACATACATACATAGATAACCTCACCAGTAGTTCTTTTGAAATGGGATAAAACAGTCAAATCTTTGTTGTGTTCTTTCTTTTTTTAATCAGTTGCCAAAATGCATATCTTGTGTGGTTTGTTTCATCATATCTGCCAGGCCTCTCCCTGCTTTAGTCACTTCCACAACACGTGATTCCTGCCACTGGCAAAACATTTTCCTGAATAACGTGCCGCATTTTTAAAAAATGACCTAATAGCTTTTGGCAAAGGAGGAATGGTTATTTTATTATTCTAGAAGTAGATGGAGGTTCTTTAATTATGGGTAGTCCTAAATTTACAACAATTGAGGCAACATTTCTGTTGCTAAGCAAGACAGTTGTTAAGTGAGTTTTGTCCCATTTTATGACCTTTCTTGCCACAGTTGTTAAGTGAATTATTGCAATTGTTAAACTAATGCTATGGTGGTTAGGTGAATCTGGCTTCCCCAGTGACTCTGCTTGTCAGAAGATCTCAAAAGGGGATCACATGATCCAAGGATACCCCAACAAGTCATAAATACATGCCAGATGCCAAGTGACAACATTTTGATCATGTGACCACAGGGATGCTGCAACAGTCATAAGTGTAAAACATGGTGATAAGTCACTTTTTCCAGTGCCGTTACCTTTGAAAAGTCACATAACAAATGGTTGCAAGTCGAGGACTACCTATAATGAATGATAGGAAAGTATATTTAACTTGAAGAATTTTTTCTGTATGAATAAAATCTAGATCTATTAGCAGGTTTAATTTCCAGATTAAAATTCCAGGTGAGCTTTGTTATCACAAGTGAGGAAATGCTTTAGTCCTCATCCCCATTCTTATTTCTAAACTATTCAGAGTTGTTAGTTTTTGCATTTAGTGTAGTGTAGGTGTTTCTATTCTATGACAGGCCGAAGGTGAATTCATATTGTGTTTTCTTTCCTTAGGAATCCTTTGTGTAGCTGACCAGTGCCACGGCTTACGAGAGCTGGCCTTGAACTACCACTTGTTAAGCGACGAGCTCCTTCTCGCTCTATCATCTGAAAAACATGTCCGATTGGAACATTTGCGCATTGATGTCGTCAGTGAGAACCCAGGACAAACGCAGTTCCACACTCTGGAGAAAAGCAGTTGGGACGCTTTCATCAGACATTCCCCTAAAGTGAATTTGGTTATGTACTTTTTCTTGTACGAAGAAGAATTTGATCCATTTTTCCGATACGAAACTCCGGTCACCCATCTTTATTTTGGGAGATCGGTCAGCAAAGAGGTCCTTGGACGAGTCGGAATGACATGTCCGCGACTGGTTGAACTGGTGGTGTGCGCCAACGGACTACGGCCCCTGGATGAAGAGTTGATCCGGATTGCCGAGCGTTGTAAGAATCTGTCGGCCATTGGCCTCGGAGAATGTGAGGTTTCCTGCAGTGCCTTTGTTGAGTTTGTGAAAATGTGTGGCGGCCGCTTGTCTCAGCTGTCGATAATGGAAGAGGTCTTGATCCCTGACCAGAAGTATAGCTTGGAACAGATTCATTGGGAAGTGTCCAAGCATCTTGGAAGAGTTTGGTTTCCAGACATGATGCCCACCTGGTAGAGCTATTGGGGGCAAGCCCATAGCTTGGGCCAGCCTGGTGGAAGCTTCATCATAATAAGCTTCTTCGTGATCTTGAGATGTTGAGTCTCTAGAAAGAGTGCAGAGAAGAGCAACAAAGATAATTAGGAAACTGGAGGCTAAAGCATATGAAGAACGGTTGCAGGAACTGAGTATGTCTAGTTTAATGAAAAGAAGAATTAGGGGAGATATGATAGCAGTCTTCCAATATCTCCGGGGCTGCCACAAAGAAGAGGGAGTCAAGCTATTCTAGTAGTACAAGAAGCAGTGGGTGGAAACTAATCAAGGAGAGAAGCAACTTAGAACTAAGGAGAAATTTCCTGACAGAACAATTAATCAGTGGAACAACTTGCCTCCAGAAGTTGTAAATGTTCCAATACTGGAAGTTTTTAAGAATATGTTGAATAACCATTTGTCTGAAGTGGTGTAGGGTTTCCTGCCTAAGCAGGGGGTTGGACTAGAAGACCTCCAAGGTCTCTTCCAACTGTTATTCTAAATTCTAAATCTTAGGATCTCTCAAGCACTATAAAAAATCAGTCTAGTCCTTAGTGCTGGTTTCTAAAATCTGGGTTAAAAAAGTGACCAGGGAGGAACAAAATGTTTTCACGTGACTTTTTTTATCACTGGCTATTTTTTGTCCCAACATGACGGATGCCAATGTATGTAGACATTGACATGTGTTTACATATTAAGAGGCTGCAGTTCCAAATCTGATAAATTACAGTATTTTAGCCTGGAAATATTACTGCAATTGACTTTGTAAAGAGCATATATCACTTCAATGACGTAATCTGGGAAACTGCATTAACCCAGGTTTTATAACAATGAATTGCTTCAAGTTCAAATGTATAATTCCAAATCCCAAATCATAACTGTGGGTCGTTTGGTGTTTCTGTAATGTTATATAGACCCGTGGGACACAGTAGCTGGGGTATATTTGTGTGTGAAAAATGTAAGTATCTGCTGCTTATTAAACTTCTCCAGAAAATCTAGTGGTCTGTAAATTATTAGCGGTGTATTTTCTTTTCTTTTTTTTCCCCTCTAGTTTTTTAAAATGAAAATGTAACAATCATAGGGCAATAACATCTATAATAAACATGTTTTAAAATATTGCTGAAGCCCAATAAGCGAAAATATTAATGGGAGCCATAGCCTATATTTTGGGCTTTTTAAAAAATTGCATGCTAATTGCATGCTTTTAAAAATGTGCTATACAAGTTTTCTAAGAATGAAGCCATTTGTGAAGGTCTTTTAGAGTACATCCTATGACTTCCAGAGGTTGAATGGCAACTAAAATACGAGAAATTGCTAGTGATCAGCTTGGGCCCTCCGTGATCATAATAGCCCGTTTAAGGGGAAATGAGACCCCAGCACACACTCATAATCGTGTCTGATTTCAGGCACTGACTCTTCTGCCAGTCAACCTCAGGTCAATTTGGAGGTGTTGCAACAACAACCACAAAAAGAGTGGCTTTTCGTGTGCAAACACATCCCTATACCTTAAAACCCATTTTAAAAAATCTGACATTAACAAACCAGCTTTTTAACTTTCACCAAAATGAATTTATTTTTTAAAAAATTGCAAGTTAATGATGTTCCTTCCCACCACACCTTTCATTTGTAGCCTGTATCTGAAAGAAATTTCATAGCAGTCACCTTCATGATGAGGGAGAGAAGCAACAGGCTGAGCAAGTGAAGGGTGTTTAGCAGGTTTTTTTACCCTTCTGTATTAAGCAACTTGGTTTAAATGGTTAGGATTCAAACTGAGCAGGATGACTTGTTTCTCTGCAGCTGAAGAATATTTTTGGCAGCTGTTTCTATATAGGTATTGCAAAAAAGACCAGCTTTCCCAATTATTCATTTTGTATTTTAATCCTCTGGTAATTAAAAAAGCAACCATTCATTGTTATTCTGTGAAATGTGTAGATACTTAACTGCAAATGTCTCATTCTAACGCGACTTGGTTGAATGGCTTGAGCATATAACATGTAAGCACAATTTTGTCAAGATATGTGAATGATGTCCATTTAGGAGCTAAATTTGATTGGAATTTAATGTGTTCCAGGTCTTTCTGATCTGACCACATACTTAGTTCTGGTTGGATGGTTGTTTTTAAAAAAGACAAAAAGAAGTTTGCTTGTTTCCATAGCTTCACATGATTTTTTTTTTTATTGAAAAGTTTTTAAAAAATTTACACATATTTTCCCCTCCCCCCTCCTGTCCCAACCCTCCCCCCCACTTCCCAGAGCAAATAGCATTTGCTATAGACAGCATTTAACAAACATTAAAAAAAACATACACTATCTATCTAGATTTATCTCCCTCTTGCACTTTAACTCCCCTTGTTCATATCTAAATATAACTATTTAAATCAATTATTGCTTGAAAGTAATCAATCCAACTTCATTGTCCGTTCTTCAATAATAAGCAAGTCTGTCTTCCAGTGTTACACAATCAGAGCCCCGTTACAATTAACCATCACATCTCCAACCCTTACATATATTAACATATTAACAAAATATTTTAACCAATCTCAAATAAAATATATTGTAAAAACCTTATTTTTACTTTTTACCCCATAAACTTATATTGACCTGGAAACATTCCTTCCTTAATAGCTTTGCATAAACTTATTTATCTTATTCTCTGATGATTCTTCTTTTTGCCTGTCCTTTACATATTTTGACAGCTCAAGATGAGCACGAAAAACTGTTGGGGGAAGGCTTAAACTGTGAATTGCCTCACACCCCGCAAAATATTTTCTGGGAAGCTAATACCCTTCAACGCTATTTGCATTGATGCAGAGTTTATTGGCAACTGCCATTGCTTACCTTTGTAAACATGAGAAGGCTGAAAGTTTGTTTCCTATTGTTCCTCTTGGGAGCAAGCATCCAAGAAAGGGTAGGGTTTATTTAGCATTACGGAACGGGGCTCAAGATGAGGGATGTGAGTGGACTTGAGAACTGCTTAGAAATTGGTAGGACAATCTCTGCTTGAAGCAGTTCTCTTCAAGGAAAGTTGGCCGAGTAGCTGATCCCACGGGTTCTTGGGGAGGGGAGCGGGTTGTATTGTTTTTCACCTGCACAAAAATTACAAAATGAGAAGTTTCCCAGCAAAGACCATGCATTTAGGTCAGTTTGTAAACATGATTATGATACTTTAGAGTTTTGTTGTCATTCGGGTATTTTTGGCTCACCAGAAGATTCTCCGGCTAGAAATTCTACAGCGCTGAAACTGAGGAAAAGGCAATCTATGAATGCAAGAGGAAGTTACCGAAACACTTATTTCCTAATTATATAGGAAAGTGTTTTCTCTTTCCAATGCAAACAGACTAAGAAAACAGAATAAAACCCTTTAGAAGAGGGGGTCTTAAAAAGAACCACGGTGATGCAGTGATTAGAATGCAGTATATTGCAGGTTACCTCTGCCCACAGTCAGGAGTTCGATCCTGACCGGCTCAAGATTGACTCAGCCTTCCATCCTTCCGAGGTGGGTAAAATGAGGACCCAGATTGTTGGGGACAATATGCTGGCTCGGTAAACCGCTTAGAGAGGGCTGTAAAGCACTACGAAGCAGTATATAAGTCTTAAGTGCTATTGCTATTAAAATGGAATCTCCTAATGGGTAAAACTGTTTTAGTTCATTTTGTCTAGCTTAAGAGGGAAAAATGGGATTGTTAGCCAAAACAAGAACAGAAAGCCACTCCCAGGCACTATAAAGCTGCCCAAATTTGCAGCATCAGTGAGATGAACAGCATAGAAATTTTATAAATAATTTGTGCATCTCCTTTCTAACCAGACTAGAATCTGATTTGGGCGGGGGGGGGGGGGTTATTTATTTATTTATTTATTTTATTTTATTTGTATACCGCCCTTCTCCAACAGGACTCAGGGCGGTGAACAGCCATGGTAAAACATAACATAAAATTTAAAAGCAATTTAAAAAACGTTAAATAATTTCGGCTATCCATTTAAAACAACCCGGATTAAAACCAATTACAAATTAAAACCGAAGGGATGGGATCAAGCCAGCCCGGCTTGGTGAAAAAGATGTGTTTTGAAATAACTTCCAATTATTTTTTAACTCCTGAACACATTTAGCAGTGGCTTTTGTAATCATAAACACCAGTATATCAAAGACAGGAATCCAAAAGTATCTTGAAGCCATTTATTTTTCACGATCAAAGAACGATTTAATCTGTGTCGGCTACCAGCCTGTACAAAATAGTCCTTGCTTTAGCGACAGCCTTGTTTAGCGACCATTTGTAATTATGATGATGATGAAAAAGTAACTCTACAACCAGTCCTCACATTTATAATTTTCTTGGGCCTCTAAAGGAAAGCTGAAGATCAGCAGAGTTATTTCACTTAGCGACTGTTTCACTTAACGACTAAGTTGAGAAGTCCAGTTGCTAAATGAGGGCTTCCCATGTTTCCAATAACAAATAATAGTTCCTGGTTCTGAGCAGTAGAGAGAGGGTACTCTCAGTTTCCATCTGATGTGAAGGAAAGGCTGCGCTCAACAGTCTTCTTCTGGAACAGCTATCAAAAAAAATAAGCTTTGAAATCTGGAATGATGCTTAATACAAAAGTATTGTGAAAAATATTCCCAAAGAACATTGGAATGATGTTCTTCCAAAGAACGATTGTTTTTTGCAATCATTTTCCCACAAAAATAGACTTCACATCTGTCCAGTTTGAAAAAGGAGTCCCACAGATCCCTTGGCTCTTATCAGAAAAAAAGTTAAAAGACTTGGCAAAGCTTGGAAATGTAGCCCTTGTGCCCAGTGGCATCTGGCAAGCAGTTAAGGCACCCAGGTTTCTTCATGGCCATCAGATTCACCACAGCTGGGATGTATTTGTGGTTGTCAGAACCGGACAGGAAAATTCTGAACGGGGATGGAGGCACTAAATCTAATTCAGCTTTTTCTTCTTCATCGCCCAAGACATACTGCAGAAACTGCACATTTTCCAAGGGCTCAGGATTGCTGTGCTGGGCTTGCTAAAGTTTGGATCTCAGGTTCAAGAAGAGATTGGACTGCCATCTGTCACAAATGTTGTAGTAGGGGGGAAGCGCGGGGGGGGTTGCGCGTGTGCCCACACCCATAATTCAATGCGCCACACATGCACGCGTGACTTCCTGCGCTCCCCCCACTTTTGGCACGCAATGGCACAGTGGGCCCGGTAGGCCCGTTTTTTGCCCTCCCCAGGCTCCAGAGGTTTCTAGGAGCCTGGGGAGGGCGAAAACTGCCTTCCCCACCTCCCCGAAGGCCCCCTAGAGGCTGGAAACAGCCCATTTCCTGACTTCTGGTGGACCCAGAAAGGCAGAAAATCATGCGTGCTGGAGCTGAGCTAGGGCAACGCTCGCGTGCCCACAGATACACCTCCGCGTGCCACCTGTGGCATGCGTGCCATAGGTTCACCATCATGGGACTAGATGACCTATAAGATCCCTTCCAACTCTGTTATTCTGTTCTGTTCTTAGGATGTGGGAGGAGGAACACTGAATGCAGTTATTAATCCGTACCAAATACTGATGTATGGCTACACATACATCAAAGTTTACAATCCTCTGTGTACCCATCTAGGGAAACAGATAACTGCTGATCAACTGAGTATCAAGTGTGGAAGGCCTGTGTACCATTCTCTATATTCCTAAATACCACATGCAGTTATTCAGGCATAGGATCAATCTTCCAGTCTTCTCCTGCAGGGGTTTACTAGCTTACTTTCTGTGGGGTCCTCAGTGCTCTCTGGCCTTAGTGGTTTTCTTACAGACGTTTCATTACCAAACTAGGTAACATCATCAGTGCTTGCTTACTTTTGTCGGACAAATTGCTTACAGGTTCAAGGCACCTTTGTTTTTGATCCATCCAGCGTTCTATAAACGTGCCATTCAAGACATTCATCGAGAAATGCACAATTATAGCAACTTAATCTGATGTTCCCCAACCTCTATTAGATTACAGTTCCAATCATCCACAGCCATTCACCCTTGTGATCCTACCGCACTGCTATCCATCAAAGCTTGAGTCCACTGAAACAGACTGTAATACGGGTAAATTAAAGACCCAGTTAAAACCATCCTGTTCCTTACGCCGCACAAAACCAGAATTTGGCGAGACGGGTCCCATCTTACAAAGGGACTCAGCCCACCAAGAGTGGCTTAAAACAGGCAAGAATTACACATCGAATTTAGTAGCATTTGAGTTAGGCAAGGGGATTTCTTCATATGCTATTTTCATGTAAGGGTATTTCATGGGCAAAAACCAATATTCCAGATTATAAAACAAGTAAAACCGATGATCCAGAACTACCTCCTCAAGTATCTTCAATAGGTTAAGGAAGAACTCCTTCACCGAGTGATACGGTTTGAAGGGCAAGTAGAAATTCCTAATAGCCAACGCCAAGGATTTGTTTCCCAGCGGTCCAAAGAGCGTCGTCTCATTGCCCAGGCAAGCAGGCTCTCCGCTGAAGAGAGTAATGGTTGTGTAATTTGTTTGCATCTTCTTGAAAACGGCGCCCAGCTCAGCCAGCTTCTGGTAAGTCCGTAGTACGAATTTGGAGCATTCATAAGCTTCAAACCAGACACGGGAATTTTTTTCTGGGCTGCTTTTGACCATCCAGGTTTCATAGTAAATGCCAGTTTTGTTGTCGTAGTCCACCCATTTTGCCATTTGATTGAATACAGCTCCTAAAAAAAAAGGGGGGGGGGGACATTGTTGTATTTTAGAAACTTACTTGCACAACTCTGCAATTTTGTAATTCTACAAAATAATCCAAATTTAGGAGGTGGTGGAAAAATTTACAATTTTTGCTATTTTGCAGCATCAGGTTTTTTTTGGAGATGGGGGAATAATTCACCGGGCATCATCGGGAAAGCCTTACATGTTTATTTATGAAGTCCAGAACCTCATGATTTACAGGCAGTCCTCGACTTACAACAGTTTGTTTAGTGACCGTTCAAAGTTACGACGGCACTGAATAATGTGACTTGATTACCGTTTTTCAGAGTTACAAACTTTGCAGCATCCCCATGATCACGGGGATCAAAATTCAAATGCTTGGCAACTGGCTCATATTTATGATAGTTATTGTGATCATGTGATCTCCTTTTGCGACCATCTGACAAGCAATGGGGAAGCCAGATTCACTTAACAATCCTGTTACTAGCTTAATAGCTGCAGTGATTCACTTAACATTTATGGCAAGAAAGGGAAAATTGGGCAAAACTCACTTGTCTCACTTAGCAACAGGAATTTTGGGCTCAATCGAGATTCTAAACCAAGGATTACCTGTATACTACCCAGATTCGCTGGCAGAAATGGGCAAGGATGGATAGGTAGGTAGGTAGATACCAGTAGTTGGGTATAATAGGATAGGATGGGATGGGATGGGATGGGATGGGATGGGATGGGATGGGATGAGTGGTGGGTTCCTCCCGGTTCGGCCGAGCCAGTAGAGGTGACGATAGGACGTCGCCAAACTGGTTCTCTTTGTCCGGGAGCTGGGCCCTCCCGCCCCTGCGTTATTCCTACCTTTTATTTCTTCTTTTTTAGCCCAGCTGATAGGTGTGGCAGAGTGGATTGCCGTACCTCAGCTGGGCAAATTCCTAACGCGCTTGCACGGAGTGCAAGGTTGGCAGAGATCGCGCACAAAGAGAACTGTTAGTAAAGCCGGTTAGAACCCACCACTGGATGGAGTGGGATGGGATGGGGTGGGATGGGATGGGATTGGATGGGATGGGATGGAGAGCAGAGCAGAGCAGAGCAGAGCAGAGCAGAGCAGAGCAGAGCATAGAGACAGGCAGATGCTTAATGTTTTATATGCTTTTCTTGTTGATGCTACTCCAGGAAAGAATAGAATGGTGTTCTGTTTTAATTTAGCCATTGGAGTCAAGGCTATTTATGATGGATGGATGGATGGATGGATGGATGGACGGACGGATGGACGGATGGAGTTTAGAACATGGGCAGCAGCTAACAACTCGTATATCTACAGTGAGTTACACCTGATTACCTGAAATTGTAGTCACCTGGACCAGGGTGCCATTTTCCTTCCAATGGGCATCATCAATCCCTTCATAGAAACAGGCCGCACCCTGGTTGCACCAGAAGGGGGCGGGGTTCTCAGGCCGCAGGTGTGGGAAGGTACAGTTGCCAAGCTGGAACAGCTCGTACCACTCCATTGTATAGTTCTTCCCAGTCAAGGAGCTTCGGAAGCCCACGGCATCGTGCATAATTTTCTGGGAAAGGAAACAAACAATGGGCTAGAGAGGTGGAGCAGTAAATTAAGATTCCACCCCTCCCCGCTAAACTCAAGAGAAAAACAAAACAGGCAAATATTTCATCAGGGCCTTTCAAAGCTGCAAGGTTCCCACCAACCCAATTTAGCACAACTACTCTACTCATTTCCAACCACACATGGCCAATAAAGCTACTCTAACTAACTCTCTCGGGGCTCCTTCGATAAGCTTTGGTTTCTAAGAAAAAAAATCAGTTTTCCAAATCTTTGGTTCCTCTCACCCCCGATATCCATTTGGCCTGAGAGGATGTTGGACGTGAGGACACAACTGGCACCAATTCGTAGCTTATTAAAGCAGAGTTTGGGTGCCAATAAAGGAGAATATTTGTAGCTCAGGGTGGAAATGAGTGGTTCCTTGATGCTCTCTGAGCTTGGTTGTCTTCTTGTAGACGTTGCATGATCCAAATTAGGTAACATAATCAGTGCAGAATTTGGATGATGGGCCACATTTGGCCAACTCACAGAGTTTACTAAGGCATAAACAGATGACTTAGTCCAAGTGATCTAACCCTCCTTACGGCTTTCTAGAACAGGGGTCCCCAATCTATGGTCCGTGGAATGGCACCGGGCATGCCAGAACCCGGGCCGCGCAAACAAGTGAAGCCCCTTCCATGGGATGTAGGCTGCACACCAAACCATGACTCCTCCGGTCCGCGGAAATCCTCTCTCTCTCCACGGAACCATCTGGTACCCAAAAAGTCGATGTGAACAAAAGGATGATGTGAACAAAGCCAGTCCATGGCAGAGGCACTAACTTGCCTTCCGCTGGATCCAACCCAAGAGCAATCCCCAGAAAAGAGCCTTGCTGAAGGGCTAAACATATCGTGTTTGTTTCGTGTCTGTTGAGAGAGGGCTGGCCACCATCCAGTCAGAACTGAAGAAGCTTCTTGGATGAGAAGCGAAATGTCTTCAATGAAAAAAACCAAAAAGTCCAGTTGCCTCTTGGAAAAAAAAGCACCTTTGGGACAACTATGACCTGGATGACTTGAGAATCTCCATAGACACTAAACATGGACCTTCTCCAGATAAATAGAGTGAGTGTCTGGCCTGCTTTCCTTCCCTCCCCACTCATTGCTGTGGAAGCCCGAGACCCCCCAGAAGAAGCAGGAGGCCTCAAAAGAACTGTACTGTGGGTGCAAGTGGCTCATCACCCAAAAACCCCTTTGCTTAACCAGAAGTCCTTCCAAATTGCTCCAATAGACTCCAAAGAAAAGGCTGGCTGCGAAGGGCAGGTTGGAGACCACCCAAGGAGAAATCCCACCCAACAGAGAGAGGGGCTGATTTTTGTCCAATTAACCTGCCAATTCTTTAGCAATGAAAACAACTTGACTTCCCAGGAGACGATACGATGAATCAACACCAGGATTTAATAACCGATACTAGACAGGGGTAGCCAGCTTGGCCTACTGCAGAACTCTCCAAACTTGGCAACTTTAAGACTTGGAGACTTCAACTCCCAGAATTCCCCAGCCGCCAATATTATTTAGTCTAGTTTCTTCTGCAAAAACATCCGAGCTTCCTAAAGTGAATCAGGGAAGTAAAACCTGATTTGTTTTCTACCGCAGGTTAACTGTTGGCAGGGGAATTCTGGGAGTTGAAGTCCACAAGTTTTTAAATTGCAAAGTTTGGAGACTGCCGGTATAGTGGTTAAAGGCATCGGGCTAGAAAAGCAGGAGACCCTGAGTTCAAATCCCACCTTTAGCCATGAAAGCCAACTGGATGATTTTGGGCCAGTCCCTCTCTCTCTCTCTCTCAGCCCAACCCACCTCACAGGATTGTTGTTGTTGTTATGGAGAAAAAGAGGAGGAAGGGAGGTATGTTGGATATGTTAATCGCCTTGAGTTATTTCTAAAGAAATACAGGCGGGATACATATTTATTAGATAAATAAATAAATCATTGTTTGTTTGAATACATTTGTTTTCAACCTTTCAGACATTGGTTTGAAAATTGCTTTTTTTCAAAGAAATTAGAACTTTCCCAACTTCTGCAAGGAGAAATTTTTCTGACAGTGGAACAACTTGCCTCCAGAAGTTGTGAATGCTCCAATCCTGGAAGTTTTTAAGAAGAGATTGGACAATCATTTGTCTGAATTGGGATAGGGTTTCCTGCCTGAGCAGGGGATTGGAGTAGAATCTCCAATAGAATTCCTACTCTACTCTACTCTACTCTACTCTACTCTACTCTACTCTACTCTACTCTACTCTACTCTACTCTACTCTACTCTACTCTACTCTACTCTACTCTACTCTACTCTACTCTACTCTACTCTACTCTACTCTACTCTACTCTACTCTACTCTACTCTACTCTACTCTACTCTACTCTACTCTACTCTACTCTACTCTACTCTACTCTACTCTACTCTACTCTACTCTACTCTACTCTACTCTACTCTACTCTACTCTACTCGTTTCCAACCACACATGGCCAGCCTAAGCAGGGGGTTGGACTAGAAGACCTCCAAGATCCCTTCCAACTTACTCTACTCTTAACTCTAACTAACTCTAACTGTAACTGTAACTCTAACTCTACTCGTTTCCAACCACACATGGCCAGCCTAAGCAGTGGGTTGGACTAGAAGACCTCCAAGGTCCCTTCCAACTCACTCTACTCATTTCCAACCACACATGGCCCTAATAAAGCTACTCTAACTCTAAGCCTCTCGGGGCTCCTTCGAAAGCAACCGGGCACAGCCTCCGTGGAAGTCCTGGGCTTCCCGGGGAAACGTGGGAACTCCCAACCCAATCAACCTCGGCATTTTTACTCCGGGGTGAGCGGGGGGGGGGGCAAGAGGGGACTCCAAACCGATCCTACCAGGTGGCCCAGAAGCCCTCCGTACTTGAACTCCCAAACGGGAGCCTGCAAGCGATACACGGCCAGGACGTCCGTCTCCCGCATCTCCGGAAGGGCAGAGCCGCTGGGGCAGAAGGTGTACCGAGCCTGGCAAAAGGGATCCGGCCGGGGACGGCGATCGAAGCGCCTGCGGGACGAGAGAGAGAGAGAGGAGTCACCGGCCGGCCGAAGAAGGGCTTTCCCGGCTCTGCCTCCCACCAACCGAGCCCTGCACCGCTTCCGCCCCTAGACTCGCCTGTAGGGAACCGGCCAACGGCCCTCGCCCTCGCACACCGTCGCCCGGCCGGCCGGCGGCAGCAAAAGCAGCAGCAGCAGCGGCAGCAACCCAGGTATCGTCCGCTGCTCCATCCCTGGCGCGCAGGAGACTGAAACCTGTCCGGGTTGCGCAGCAGCTCCAGAGCTTTGCGCGCTCCCGCTCGTCAGCTGAGCCGGGCCGCGGGGAGGCACGTGACAGGGGAGTGGGCGGGGACGAGCCTCCCAGTCCCGGAGATCAGCTGGGGGGGGGTGGTTTCTCTGCAGGCTGCAGGAGCTGGGATTAGAAGCTAAAACGTATGGAAGAATGGAATGGAATGGGAATAGATAGTGGAGTGGAGTAGGAGTAGAGTAGCTTTATTGGCCATGTGTGATTGGAAATGAGTAGAGTTAGTAGAGTAGCTTTATTGGCCATGTGTGATTGGAAATGAGTAGAGTAGAAGTAGAGCCTTATTGGCGACGTGTGATTGGAAATGAATAGAGTAGTAGAGTAGCTTTATTGGCCATGTGTGATTGGAAATGAGTAGAGTAGCTTTATTGGCCATGTGTGATTGGAAATGAGTAGAGTAGAAGTAGAGCCTTATTGGCGACGTGTGATTGGAAATGAATAGAGTAGTAGAGTAGCTTTATTGGCCATGTGTGATTGGAAATGAGTAGAGTAGCTTTATTGGCCATGTGTGATTGGAAATGAGTAGAGTAGAGTAGCTTTATTGGCCATGTGTGACTGGAAATGAGTAGAGTAGTAGAGTAGCTTTATTGGCCATGTGTGATTGGAAATGAGTAGAGTAGCTTTATTGGCCATGTGTGATTGGAAATGAGTAGAGTAGAGTAGAAGTAGAGCTTTATTGGCCATGTGTGATTGGAAATGAGTAGAGTAGAGTAGCTTTATTGGCCATGTGTGATTGGAAATGAGTAGAGTAGTAGAGTAGCTTTATTGGCCATGTGTGATTGGAAATGAGTAGAGTAGCTTTATTGGCCATGTGTGATTGGAAATGAGTAGAGTAGAGTAGAAGTAGAGCTTTATTGGCCATGTGTGATTGGAAATGAGTAGAGTAGAGTAGAAGTAGAGCTTTATTGGCCATGTGTGACTGGAAATGAGTAGGTAGCTTTATTGGCCATGTGTGATTGGAAATGAGTAGAGTAGAGTAGAAGTAGAGCTTTATTGGCCATGTGTGATTGGAAATGAGTAGAGTAGTAGAGTAGCTTTATTGGCCATGCGTGATTGGAAATGAGTAGGGTAGCCTTATTGGCCATGTGTGATTGGAAATGAATAGAGTAGAGTAGGAGTAAGAGTAGAGTAGCTTTACTGGCCATGTGTGATTGGAAATGAATACAATGGAGTGGAATGGAATGGAGTGGGAATAAAAATAGAATAACAGAGTTGGAAGGGACCTTGGAGGTCTTCTAGTCCAACCCCCTGCTCAGGCAGTAAACCCTACACCATTTCAGACACGTGATTGTCCAATCTCTTCTTGAAAACTTCCAGTGCTGGAGCTTTCACAACTTCTGGAGGAAACGTGTTCCACTGATTAATTGTTCTCACTGCCAGGATATTTTTCCTCAGTTCTAGGTTGCAGGAATTGGGTATGGCCAGTCTAGTGAAAAGAAGGACTAAGGGTGACAAGATAGCCATGTTCCAATATTTGAGGTTCTTCCAGAAAGAAGAAGGGGTCCACCTATTCTTCAAAGCACCAGAAGGCAGGACAAGAAGCAATGGATGGAAACTAATCAAGGAGAGAAAGAACCTAGAACTAAGGAGAAATTTCCTGACAGCTAGAACAATCAGTGGAATGATTTGCCTCCAGAACAGTGGTGGGTTCCTCCCGGTTTGGTCCGGTTCGGCCGAGCCGGTAGCAGTGACGATATGACATCACCGAATCGGTTCCCCCCCCCACGTTATTCTTACCTTTTATTTGGCCCCACCCCCAATCTATTGCTGCCTCCTGAGTCCCAGCTGATGACTAGAGGGAAAAAAACTGTTTAAACTCTTGCCGGGGGGCTTCAAAGGGCCGTCCTACAGCTGATCAGTGTTAAAAGCAAACAAATGAGTCGGGTCGTAAGTGTGAGGACAGGTCATAAGTGCGAGGACCTTCCAGAAATGACTCTGACCAGCTAGCCACGCCCACCTAGTCACATGACCTCCAACCCACACCCACAAAATAAGCCACGCCCACAGAACCGATAGTAAAAAAAATTAGAACCCACCCCTGCACCAGAAGCTTTAGGTACTCCATCTCTGGAAGCTTTTAAGAAGAGATCAGAATGTAGCTGGAAGAGACCTTGGAGATCTTTTAGTCCAAGAGCAATCAAAGAAGAGCCAATACCAACATCCAGATTGGTAGACCAGCTCCCACCTATAACAGCTCCTCTCCACCTTGCAATCAGCCAATCAAAAACAAAGCTGGAAGGGATCTTGGAGGTCTTCTAGTCCAACCTCCTGATCAAGCAGGAGACCTTGTAACATTTTGGACAGGTGGCTGTCCAGTCTCTTCTTAGAAAACCTCCGGTGATGAAGCACCCACAATTTCTAAGGGCAAGCTGTTCCACTGGTTAAATTGTCCTCGCTGTTAGGAAGTTTCTCCTCAATTCCAGGTTGCTTCTCTCCTTGATTAGGTTCCAGCCATTGTTTCTTGTCCTGCCTTCAGGTGCTTTGGAAAATGAGTTGACTCTTCTTTGTGGCAGTCCCTCAAATACCGGAGAGATTGGAGAACACTTTGTGTGAAATGGTATAGGGCAGTGATGGCTAACCTTTTTGCCATCACGTGCCAAAAGCAGGGGGGGTTGCGCCCGTACGCATGCCCACACCCATAATTCTATGTGCCCCACCCTCCCGCGCATGCGTGCATAATCCCCCGCTCTCCCCACCTTTGGCATGCAATGGCACAGTGTGACCGTTTTTCACCCTCCCCAGGCTCCAGAGCCTTTCTAGGAGCCTGGGGAGGGTGAAAACAGCCTTCCCCACCCCTGGAGGCTGGAAACGACCCATTTGCCAACTTCTGGTGGGACCAGAAGGCCTGTTTTTTGCTCTCCCCAGGCTCCAGAGCCTTTCTAGGAGTCTGGGGAGGGTGAAAACAGCCTTCCCCACCCCCCGGAGGCTGGAAACGGACCATTTGCCAGCTTCTGGTGGGACCGGAAGGCCTGTTTTTTGCTCTCCCCAGGCTCCAGAGCCTTTCTAGGAGTCTGGGGAGGGCAAAAGCGGCCTCCCCCCCCCCCCCCCCTGAGGCCCTCTGGAGGCTGGAAACAGCCTGTTTCCCTACTTCTGGTAGTCCCAGAAGGCCTGAAAATGGAGCTGAGCTCGCGTGCCCATCAATATGACTCCACGTGCCACCTGTGGCACAAGTGCCATAGATTCGCCGTCACGGGTATGGGGTCTTCTGCTTGAGCAGCAGGTTGGACTAGAAGACCTCCAAGGTCCCTTCTAACTCTGTTATTCTGTTATTCCTGCCCACCAGCTGACTTTCGTGGCTAAGGCAGAACTTGAACTCAGGGTCTGTTACTTTCTATCCTTGTGCCTTAGAAAGAGTTCCGAAATCAATGAGAAGAATCTAGACAAAAGTGATTCATATTACAGGGTATTTATAAGAAAAGCCACCATTCATACACAAGCAGGCTGACCTCTGTCACAGTTCGTTGCAGCACATCCAACCAGACACACAATTAAATAATTCTGCAGGATTCATCTACATAAGAAAATGTCTTTATATACAATACCATACAGGAGAATTCAGCATACAATATCAGGAACAGAGAAGCAATATTCATAGAAGCAAGTCAATACAGAGTAGAGAGATACAAAGGCAAATATATTGTACAGAAGCTCCCATTATAGAGGCCAAACCAACTCTTATATACAATTCAGCAAGGCTAAGCCACGCCCAGCCTCCAAACTGTCTCTTATGGCCCCATACAAACAAATACTATGTTTCAGTTTCCAATCAGTCCCCATTGGTTGACCTGTTACCATGTCTATCCAAACCGTCTATCTTAGTACAGGTAGTCCTTGACTTACGATTGAGCTAACATTTTTGGTGCTAGGCAAGACAGTTAAGTGAGTTTTGCCCCATGTTATGACCTGTTTTTCCACAGTTGTTAAGCGAATCACCGCAGGTGTTCGGTCAGTAGCACTGTTGTTAAGTGAATCAGGCTTCCCCACCGATTCTGCTTGTCAGAAGGTCGCAAAAGGGGATCACATGATGTCCAAATTTTGATCACGTGACCACAGGGATGCTGCAATGGTCGTTAAGTGTGAAAAATGGCCGTAAGTCACTTTTTCCAGTGCTGTTGTAATTTTGAATGTTCACTAAACGAACTGTTGTAAATGGAGGACTAACTATACTAAGGTTAGACAGGAATCAACGAAGCTCAGATAATGCTAGGTCAGTGATGGCTAACCTTTTTGTCAACGTGTGCCAAAAGTAGGGAGAGTGTGGGGGGGTCACGTGTCTGTGTGCCCACACCCATAATTCTATGCAGGCGTGTGCGACCCCCCGCGCTCCCCCCGCTTTTGGCACACGATGGCATGGTGGGCCCGATAGGCCCGTTTTTCACTCTCCCCAGGCTCCAGAGTCTTTCTAGGAGCCTGGGGAGGGCAAAAACAGCCTTCCTCAACTCCCCTGGAGGCTCTCTGGAGGCCAGAAACAGCCCATTTCCCGACTTCCGGTGGGCCCGGAAGGCCCAAAAATCAGCTGGCTGGCATGCACATGCTGAGATAGGGCAACGCTCGCGTGCCCACAGATATGGCTCCGTGTGCCAACTGTGGCACGCGTGCCATAGGTTCGCCATCACGGTGCTAGGTCGTAACTGACCATGTAGGCCAGGCCTGGAAGGTCCTTCTGGGACCAGGTAGGTCTCACAAAGTTTCCCTCTTACGTTGCCGCAAATCTTTTGTCAGCTCAGCTCCTCGAAGAAGTGAGAATAGCTCCCCGCAATCATCCAGGGATTCAAGCTTATCAACTGCTTCTACAATGCTTTCGGCCACTTCTGGGGAGACTGCAGAAATGGCATTGTTGTGGAACTTCTTCACCAAATCCCCGCGGCTCAAGGGCTTCCTCCAGTGCCCGTAGAAGGTTTCGCAACGCTCTGCCCAGGTGTCTCCATCCTGGAGGATGATTTTGACCCCGCAGTAAAGGCTGTTGAAGCTGGGGAGATTGTCCGGAAAATGCTCCAGGCTGGTTTTTTGGAGGAGGTCATTCAACTCTGGCCTGGACAGTCTCTGCGGTGTGAAGGATTCGGCTGAGATGAAGCCATCCAGCAACGCTGAGCACGCGGCAAACTGGAAGGAGTGCCTGGCTTCATGTTCGGAAGAAGGAAACGGCCGATTAACATATCTAATGTTGGGGACATCAAGCACGATGGCCTTGATGCAGCTAGTGGGCAGAGACTCCCCACTCGGGGCAAGGTGCTTCCTTACTGCCAGGGCAGCTTCGGCCATCCAGTGTGTCCCCAGATGCGCCGGGAAGCTCTTGAAGGCCACGTCTTGTTGGTCCAGCAACCAAGAGTAGGACTGCAGGCTGGGCAGTGTCTGGGGCAGGTAATCCATGTAAAAGGCCCCAAATCCTGACTCGAGGTCCAGAATCAGCTTGCTGGCTTGCAGGCCCAGAGAAGCCAAGAGAGCCGCTTCCGCGCCGTGCCGGCTGGCGTTGCCCATGTGAAGTGGTTTGGTCTGTGTGGCTGCGTTGGCCAGCGGGGCACCGGCATAAGAAGCGGCTACAGCCAGGGCTTCCTTACACTTGAGTTGGTTGAGGCCCAGGAGTTTTGCGGTGGCTGCAGCACTTCCCATGGTACCGAGAATGGAGGGTGGGTGGAACCTGGAAGAATCAAAATGCCATTATAACTCTGAATGGCCACTAAACACACTGTCGCAAGTCAAGGACTGCTTGTACATGGCATAAGTACAAAGAGAACAATAGCTTGCATCATTGGTGAAATGTAAATTTTGTTACTACCAGTTCTGTGGGCGTGGCTTGGTAGTGGTGGTGTAATATGACTGAGTGGGCGTGGCCAACTTTTTTTTTTTTACTTTTAAAACCATTTTTTCTACCATTGAAGAGGTTGTAAAAAATATGCTTTTAAAGCCTCTGACGATCCCAGCTGACTTGCCTGATCGGCAGAGGCTTTCTTTTTTTAAAAAAAAGCCTCTGATGATCCCAGCTGAGCCGCGCAATCATCAGAGGCTTTTTTTTTTTACTTTTAAAAGCATTTTTTTGGCCAAAGAAGTTGTAGAAAAAATGCTTTTAGAAATAAAATTAAAAAAAGCCTCTGATGATTGCGCGGCTCAGCTGGGCAATGGGGGGGGTGGGGCCGGGATTTTTGCTACCGGTTCTCCGAACCACCTGCCGCCATCTCTACTGGATCAGGCGATCCGGCCCGAACCGGGAGCATTTCACCCCTGGCTTGCATCCAGTCAAGGGGTGCCAATAAATGATCTGCTCTGCCACATCGGAAAGCCTGTTCAGGATCTGGTCCTCAAGTAATGACCATCTAACAAAGAAGCCCACTCAGTTTAGTTAGGAATAAATGAAGCTCAGATGATGCTAGGTAGAGTCGTGGCTGACCATTAAGCCCATGCCAGGAGAGTCCTTCTGGGGCTTATTTTAGAACAAGTTAAAAAAACAAACACAGACCTTTTAGGAAGATTGCTGGCCTCCTTGGAGAAGCTCATCAGTCTGCCTTGCACCTCGATCCCAATGTTGAAAGCCAAAAGCAAGTCGCAGCCAGAAATCCTTTGTTTTTCGGCCACACCTTCGGCGACGGCCATGAGGGCTGACAATACTGGCCCCGACGGATGGGTGGTTGGATGCCACGTATCATCAAAATCCATGGAGTGTATCTGTGAAGGGGGAGGCAGAGAAAGGGAGAAAAATTTTTGAGGTGGGGGAGTTGGTATATAGGCCCTAGGGACTTTCTCCCAGCAAAAAACAGGTGGAATCAGAGGGTGGTAGGGAGTACCAAGAGTTTCTTACCGCCACACCGTTCACCAGTGCTGCGTAGAGCGGAGGCAGCTTGAGCGTTGAGCATCCCCAGACAGAACTGGATGAATCCGAGCTGTAAATCTGAAAAAAAAAAAAAATCCCAATTCTGCTTAGGAGGAACTTTTACATGTGAAGCCAAGCAACCGCTTCTCTTTATTCTCTCCTAGGCTCATTCCACCAAGAGCATCGAATGCAAGGAATCAGGAGCCAGAACAGAGTTCAAAAGTTCTACAAGTTTATTCCAAGCAACCCTATACACAAGAATCTGATCTACTAAAGGTCAAGGCAAATTGGTGCACAAGCAATGAGCAGATGCTCCAAAATCCAACAATGTATCTGTCAGGTCCAAGACCAGGCTAAAGTAAACCAGGATAAAGTTCGAAAGTACTCGTAAATTTATTCCATGCAATCTATACACAAGAATCTGATCTACTAATGGTCAAGGCAAATTAGCGCAGGATAAGAGTCAATGGACTTCAAGGGGGGCTGGACTTAGGTCTCTTATAGCAGCATAGTGACTCCAAACTGATGGTGCACTTGACCCCACTCTCTGGCTTAGCTTGGTTATCTCCTATAAAAAGGCAAGAGCAAGAGGACCTACTCCTTCTTATGCAAAACTCACGTGCACAGATCTCCATCATGGGCAGGTTAGATGCTAACCAAAGGGAGCAGTTTGATAATGGACTCCATGGTTGCTATCATTTGGGGGGTGGGGTGGCCCTCAGGCTATCTGGAACAGAGTCCTCGGGTGGAAAAGGGCCCCCTTTGCTGGAGGAAGGGGCTGGAGCATTACCCCATCTACCCCATGCCAGCCCAACCAGGAAGAAGAATCCTCAGGTGGAGAATTGATATACCCCTTTAGGTGAACAGAGGTGGGAGGGCTTCAGGAAAAGGCCACCTTGTGCTAACCTCCATAGTGGAAAGAAATAACAATAAGGATAACCTGTGGCAAAATACAAGGCTGTTATCTTAAAACAGGAATGTGGAACTTTGGCCCTTTGATGACTTGTGGACAACTCCACAAGTTGACGTCCACAGGTCACCAAAGGGCAATAGCTCCCTACCTGTGCCTTAAAAGATCAATAACTGCCTAGCCCAAAAGTTATCAATCAAGATCACATGAGATACTAATACCACTCTATAAAGCCTTGGTAAGACCACACTTAGAGTACTGCATCCAGTTTTGGTTACCACCCTATAAAAAAGATGTTGAGACTCTAGAAAAAGTGCAGAGATGAGCAACCAGGATGATTAGGGGACTGGAGACTAAAACATACGATGAACGGTTGCAGGAACTGGGTATGTCTAGTCTAGTGAAGAGAAGGACCAGGGGAGACATGAGAGCAATGTTCCAATATTTGAGGGGCTGCCACAGAGGGGGAGGGGGCGCAAGCTATTTTCGAAGGCACCTGAAGGCCAGACAAGGAATAATGGATAGAAACTGGTCAAGGAGAGATTCAACCTGGAAATAAGGATAACTTTTTTGACAGTGAGAGCAATCAACCCATGGAAGAGAAGTTGCCTTCTGAAGTTGTGGGAGCTTCGTCACTGGAGGCTTTCAAGAAGAGCTTGGACTGTCATTTGTCAGAAATGGTGTAGGGTCTCCTGCTTGAGTGGGGGGTTGGACTAGATGGACAAGCTACCTTCCAACTCTGTTAAACTGATTTGAGGTGAGAATTAAGACAACAGATCCTCTTACCTTGCTGTACTGGATGAGCTTCTGGAAGACGTCGGTTCTGGTGCCCACCAGCCCGACTCCCAAAGTATCCAAAATCATCCGTTTGCTCCTCTGAACAACTCGGTCGGTTAGGTGGCTCGGATTCAACCCGTGGATCACATTAGCAAAGTTCCCCGTAATATTCTGGCAAAGAGAAACCAAACCGTGTCAGCCACATTTCCTCCTCCCCTGCCATTTTCTCCAGACCCCAACCTGCTTGGATTTATCTTCGCAGAAGCAAATCACAGGTCGTCCTTGACCTACAACCGTTCATTTAGTGACCAAAGTTACAACAGCACTGAAAAGAGAGACTTATGATGGTTTTTCACACTTAGGACCAGGGGTGAAATGCTCCCGGTTCGGACCGGATCACCTGATCCGGTAGCGATGGAGGTGGGTGATTCGGAGAATCAGCAGCAAAAAATCCCTGCCCCCCCCCGCCATTGCCCAGCTGAGCGGCGCAATCATCAGAGGCTTTTTTAAAAAATTTTAAAAGCATTTTTTCTACAACCTCTTCGGCCGAAAAAATGCTTTTAAAAGTAAAAAAAAAAAAAGCCTTTGATGATCATGCGGCTCAGCTGGGATCATCAGAGGCTTTTAAAAAAAAAAGCTTCTGCCAATCAGGCAATTCAGCTGGGATCGTCAGAGGCTTTTAAAAGCATTTTTTTTACAACCTCTTCAGCCGAAAAAATGGTTTTAAAAGTAAAAAAAAAAAAATGGCCACGCCCACTCAGTCATATTACCCCACCACCACCAAGCCACGCCCACAGATCCGGTAGTAACAAATTTTACATTTCACCACTGCTTAGGACCATTGCAGCCTCTCCGTGGTCGTGTGATCAAAATTCAGACTCTTGGCAACTGGCATGTACTTATGACGGTTGCGGTGTCCCAGAGTCATGGGATCCCTTTTTGGGACTTTCTGACAAGGAAAGTCAATCGGGAAGCCCAGATTCACTTAACAACCGGGTTACTAATTTAATAACTGCAACGAGTCGCTTAACAGCTGTGGCAAGAAAAGTTATAAAATGTGGGGGAAACCTGCTTAACAACTGTCTTGCTTAGCAACACATAAATGTTGGGCTCAGTTATGGTCCTAGGTCAAGAACCACCTGTAATACCCTGTGCATTTCCTAATCCTGCTGATCAGCTACCCTCATGGAGCAGAAACATAATTTTATCAGAAAACGAAAAATCCTTTGGTTCCGATAACTTCATTTCCGCAGCCCCCCTGGCTCTATCTGACAACGTAGAGCAGTGGGACTGAAGGAAGTGCCAAATTTTGACCCACAACCTGCTCTTGCCCAGTTTTTGCAAGCTGAGGATGGATGGTCTCTACCTCACCTCGCTTCAAGGACCTGGTAGCCTTGCCAACAACAGCAGAAAAAGCAGAAAAATTTTGGGGAAAAATAAAAAAAATGGCTTAATGAGATTTTAATGCGAAAGATTGAATGGCGACCAGAGACATGCCTGCTCGGTTCCAAACTGGAAAATATCAAAAGAGATTCATGGTATCTTGCATTATACATTATCACAGCGACGAGATTGGCGTATGCTCAATTTTGGAAAAATCAAAATATCCCAACAGAGGAGACAATTATAAAGAAGATCTTAGAATGTGCGGAAGCAGATAAATTGACCAAAAAACTAAAAGACAGAGACCAAACACAAATATGTCTATCTTGGGAAAAATTTTATAAATGGTTAGAGAAGAGGAAATTATAACCCACACTAGGTGAGGAATTGTATATATTGAGAAACTTATATTGTACAAGTAACGGATAGACCTAACTGATGTATAAAGGTATATAAGTTGTTCTGTCTTCTCCGGAACATAATATGGAAACATAGTACCGAATATTAGATTATTAAGGTACTACATAGAAGTATGCCTTTCTTTCTTTTTTCTTCTTCTTTGTTTTGTGTTGTATTGTCTTGTGTGTTATTTATATGATGTGTTGTTTGTTCTTTTTAATGGAAAATGTAAATAAAGATTATTTAAAAAAAAAAAAAAACATTGGCCATGGCAACAGCTCACACATACATCCCTTGGGCCTACAGGCACTGTCCGGAGCAGAGGAAGCTGCTTCCAATTTCTGGCTCAGCTCAACTAGTCTGTGCTGGTCTCTCAGACCTCAAGGACAATTTCCTCCATCTCTGTTGCTTGACTCTACTCGAAAGAATCCATCTTCAACATGGATTAGGTCTGCTGTCTCCTGTAGACAAAGCCACACATCTCTCCCTGCCTAAGCCCTCTGCCTCCTCCACTTTCAGCCCAAGCTTCCATGCCTCCCCCTGGGAACAAGACACGGAAAAACTTACCTTGGCCCACATGATGCCACGGAGTGATGTCCTGTGCCTGCAAAGACCACGCTGGGGAGGACTGAACCTCTTCCTTTTATACATGTTCAAGGAGGAGCAAGGGCCTTTCAACATCTCCAATTTTCCCCGCTCTCCATGGCCCATTAGACGCTGCTGCCCAGTATTGCAACAGGCTCTGCGTTGACAGCAAATCACGTGTTGAGTCAAACAAGATGGTTCGGGACTTCCAAAAAAACACTTGTGAGTGACGCAGCGGTAGGCCCCACCTATCCCCGGTGGCGTTTGTGTGTTGTGAAAGGACACAGCTGGAGGAGAGTCCCCAAACCTCTTTCACAAGTGAGGCTTCCTGGCTAAAGAGACAACGGATATTTACAGGGATTCCCACAGTAGAAGAAACACTGCTACTCTAGGTCTTGTCAGCCTGACACTGATAGATGGCAGAAACCCAGCTACTGCAGACAGTCCTTGATCAGGGCCGGATTTAGATGAAAAGAGGCCCTAGGCTATTCCACTTATGAGGCCCTTTCACCTATAGTGAAAGTGTAATTTTAATTTTGCTAACAATTTGAATGTAGGCCCTCTTGATCTTGAGGCCCTAGGCTGAAGCCTAGTTAGCCTATAGGAAAATCCGGCCCTGTCCTTGATTTATAGCCGCAATTCAGCCCGACGTTTTTTTGTGGCTAAGCGAGATGGTTGTGAAGCGGCTTTCGCCCGCTTGAACAGCCTTGCTTGCAACCGGCGTAAAGTGAATCCCTGCGGTTGTTCAGTTAGTAACACGGTTGTTAAACAGATCTGGCTTCCCCATCGTCTCTGCTGGTCAGAAGGTTGCAAAAACGGGTTCTCACTCGAAAAATGCAGTCATGGATCATTCTTGCCTAGGGTTCAAGTCGAGGCAGGACTGACACGCTGATTCTTGGGTATTGGCAGCATGAAATGAACTGGCAGTACTTTTGAACTCTATCCTGCTTTCTGACTTCTCGCATTTGACAAGTGTATACTGCTATAGCCTCTTTTTTTTTTTTAATTTGATTTATATGCCGCCCTTCTCCGGAGACTCAGGGCGGCTTACAATGCGCTAAACAATAGCCTTCATCCTTTTGTATATTTATACAAAGTCAGCTTATTGCCCCCACAACTGGGTCCTCAATTTACCTACCTTAGAAAGGATGGAAGGCTGAGTCAACCTTGAGCCTGGCGAGATTTGAACCTGCAGTAATTGCAGGTTCTTGGCTAGGTTTTGTGCAAATCCAGGAAGCAGGCAAATTCAGAAAACTAGCACATATGTGGTAGTCGTTCCCGACTCTAGGGGGCGGTGCTCATCTCCGTTTCAAAGCCGAAGAGCCAGCGCTGTCGGAAGACGTCTCCGTGGTCATGTGGCCGGCATGACTAAACGCCAAAGGCACATAGAACGCTGTTACCTTCCCACCAAAGGTGGTCCCTATTTTTCTACTTGCATTTTTTACATGTTTTCGAACTGCTAGGTTGGCAGAAGCTGGGACAAGTAACGGGAGCTCACCCCATTATGCAGCACTAGGGATTCGAACCGCTGAACTGCCAACCTTTCAATCGACAAGCTCAGCGTCTTAGCCACTGAGCCAACTGCATCCCTATTCAGAAATTTACTTTCTGTCAATTATGGTAGTGGAGACATTGTTGTCTCAAGCAGGAGATCCAAAATCTCCCTTGCTCCCAGCTCATAAACCCAACCCAACCCAATCCAATCCAATCCAATCCAATCCAATCCCATCCCATCCCTTATTATGGTCATGAACCAGCACAATTCAGTGTGGAGAATGGGACCAACCTCAAACTTGTCTTCTCTTCTCATTTCCCACAACCCATCCTATTTCTTCTTCTCTTTCCTTTCAGACCGTCTCCTGCGTAAGGCTGCATTTCTCGTGCAAACACAAGGTTTCCTGTAAAAGTTTGATCTTGTGAAACTCCATTGAACACGAAAAGGATGACTTTCATCCCTCCAGTTTATCCGTTTCACTTTCAGGTTGCATAAGGTTATGCCGCCCCAACTTCTCCTTTTTATGCCCTCCAAAATAAATGGTTCACAGGCCAGAAATCCCATTGCAAGATAGGAATCTCACCCTTTCATCTACAAAAAGAAAACCTGAAACCTTCCCTGAAATGAAATGTCAGGGTTGTTAGGAACCGTGTGTGTGTGTGTGTGTGTGTGTGTGTGTGTGTGTGTGTGTGTGTGAAATTCTCTCTTTAGACATCTAGGATCCAGATTAACCCACATTTTAAACAGAACTCCTGAGAGATAAGAGGGTTTTCTAAGCATAAGAAATTCTGGTTTCACTCATTGAAAAGGGACATGTTGGTTTTCTGAGCAGTGAGACCTTCACAGTTCGAATTTTGTGAATATGTCTTATTTTCACATACAAATGAACCAGAAGCAGAGAGGCCTACTAACTCTCCTCCCAAGTTGGGCTGCAAATCTACTGGAGTCACAAACTTAAGGTCAGATGACAACCTGGGCTCAAACTTGGATGTTAAAAGGTAAAGGTTCCCCTCACACATATGTGCTAGTTGTTCCTGACTCTAGGGGGCGGTGCTCATTTCTGTTTCAAAGCCGAAGAGCCAGCGCTGTCCGAAGACGTCTCCATGGTCATGTGGCCGGCATGACTAAACACCAAAGGCGCACAGAATGCTGTTACCTTCCCACCAAAGGTGGTCCCTATTTTTCTACTTGCATTTTTTATGTGCTTTCAAACTGCTAGGTTAGCAGAAACTGGGACAAGTAATGGGAGCTCACGCCATTACGCAGCACTAGGGATTCGAACCACTGAACTGCCGACCTTTCGATCGAAAGGCTCAGTGTCTTAGCCACTGAGCCACCATTGTTACCATTTCCTTAAAATGTTATCCCTGTAGCCAACATGGAGGAGGAGGAGGGGGGGGGGAGGAGGAAAAAAAAGGGAAGGAGGAGGAGGAGGAGAAGGTCGAGGAAGAGGGGGAGAGAGAAGTATGCAATTTGATTTTTCATGTAAGAAACATTCCTATTTATTTCAACCACTGGTCCAACAGGGTGAAATCCCCACAGCAAGCAACATCAAGCGACATCAAGTGAGGTAGACTAATACCACTCTATAAAATCTTAGTAAGACCACACCTAGAGTACTGCATCCAGTTTTGGTTACCACATTATAAAAAATATGTTGAGACTCTAGAAAAAGTGCAGAGAAGAGCAACCAGGATGATTAAGGGACTGGAGACTAAAACATATGAAGAACGCTTTCATGAACTGGGCATGGCTAGTCTAGTGAAGAGAAGGACCAGGGGAGACATCATAGAAGTGTTCCAATATTTGAGGGGCTGCCACAGAGAGGAAGGGGTCAAGCTATTTTCCAAAGCATCCAAATAATGGATGCAAACTGATCAAGGAGAGATTCAACCTAGAAATGAGGAGGAACTTTCTGACAGTGAGAACAATCAACCCATGGAACAGAAGTTGCCTTCGGAAGTTGTGGGAGCTTCATCACTCGAGACTTTCAAGAAAAGATTGGACTGCCATTTGTCAGAAATGGTGTAGGGTCCCCTGCTTAGGTGGGGGGTTGGACTAGATGACCTATAAGGTCCCTTCCAACTCTGTTAATCTGTTAATCTTCTATGTTTACAGGTCCTCGCATTAGTTTTCCTTGTTTCTCAAGGTTCAGATTCAAAAGGGTCTGGTTGTCATAGGATCGTTCTATAGGCTGGATGGCATATTTTGTGACATCCGCAGAGTCTTCTATGCACATTAAATCTAGACTTGAATGAGCAGCTTTCTGTGCTACAATGGGAATTAGGACCATGAGTTCCCCTACTAACCATGGCTCTTCAGGATCTCAAAGAAGGGTTTTCCCACCCAGCCAGGCAGCCGAGTCCCAGACTTGAGTGTCTGGTCACTATAGAGCTGCTTTGTTGAAGGAAGAGAATATTGCTGGGGAGAGAACTTGGTGAAGGTTTAAACAGATAATATATCATGAGACATCTAAAGCCCCATAACAGGATGATGGAGGCTAAAGATAGTCATTCACTTTCAATATTATAGCAGAAGCATTTAAAGGAATTTGTGGGCTACGCTTTGCAGAAGAAGAAGCAGCCTCAGGAACAGGGTTTTTTGCTGTCCTTTGCAGAACGGAAATACAGCAGATTAATACACGTGGCAGAAACATCTACTTCAAGCACATCCATTGAGAGCGGCTGGTCCAAAGGCCGAGTCGCCTCCGGCTTCACCATTCAGAAATGGGAGATGGGGAGGCCGGGCCGAGAACCCTTCTTCTGGTTTCTAACTTGTGCACCTGGGTTAGTGTTGTGGCTCCGTTGCCTGAGCCTGGGCTATCGACAGATGCAGACTCTGAGAGTGAGGGAGAGGAGTTGACAAGGCTTCCCTCTCCAGGACCCTCCTCTCTGGAAATGCCTCCGGAGGACACCGAAGGCCAAACGATAGGCTCAGAGCCAAGCACGTCCCCGCAGCCACAGGTGGACAGCGACGAGGAAGATAAGTGCTGGCTGGACCCGCGACAGAGGCGCAGGGAGAAGCATGCACAGCAGAGGGGAAGGCGTGCCAGAGATTAGCTGAGTCACTGGACCACACCCCACAGGGTATAAATGTGGGTGTGGTGGCCGGTTCAGTTTGTGACGAGCAAAAACTGGAAATACTCCATGATCTCTGTGTTACTGGACTTTGCCTGCTTTATCGGACTGCATTTGGATTAATCCTTGTATTGTTGTTACTCTGCCTGTTTTATCAGAATGCTGGCAGTCTAATCTTTGTTTTGTGTGAGTAAAGTCTGAATTGGCAGCTAGCCACTGGGTTGCTGCCAGCTTTATCTTTAAAGAGTTTTGTCATGTGGCTTATTAACTCTGGGCCATCTGTGGGGGTGCGTATGGGGTACGGGGACAGAACAGTTGCAGCCTCTCAGGCTCATCATACTTGCAAACAATAAATATGGTGTAGGGTCTCCTGCTTGGGCAGCGGAGTTGGACTAGATGACCTACAAGGTCCCTTCCAACTCTGTTCATCTGTTAAAAACAGATCCTGGTTTGCCTAAATTAAAATCCATAACAAATTCAGATCAATCGCGGCATCC